TGGTTGTCCCCAAAATTGAACAATGCAGCCACTGCTATGAAACTTGCTCAAATCTTATGTCAGCAGATAGTTTCACAGCAAAACAATGCTGTCTCCCGTAACAATAACAAGACTATCTGGTATAATCTGAGATTTGATCACTTTTGGATGGTTCCGCATGGATCTCAGTGGCATAAAGTGGTGTTCAAATATGTCAGTCATTTATACGTGCAAGCTACTTTTACATCCTTTTCTCTGCTGAAATTGGAGTTAAATATTTCTGATGTCTGGCTTTAAATACTTCAGATTAGGCATGTTGCTGCAGCCCAGTTTGCTTTAAGAGATATGGCCTTTCACCCATCTACATTATAGTCCCTCTTCTTCAACCCACACACAGCAAGATTTATGGTCTGCTATCTTGCAGAAGGCCCTCCAAGCTTTAATGGATATGAGAACAATGGAATGTAGACATTCCAGACCTGACTGAGCAGGACTGGTAGAAATTTTCTGGATCCTACTTTGATACAGTTATATCTAAGTTATATCTAAGAGACAAACTCATCCAATGAAGTTGCTTCCACAGAGCATGCTTTACTCCTCCCCGACTATTCATTCACTCATAAGTGCCAGGTGATGGTTGGAGAAATGCTACATAAAGTTCAGGGTTGCTCTAAAGTTAGACCTTTTTGGCTGCAAATTACTGAATTTATTTCCTCAGAACTTTCTCATCTTTAATATGAAATCCAAAATGGTGTCTTTTCTGTATTTTTAAAGAACTAGATTTGATCACAGTTAAAAAAGCTTTTTTAAGACTACTACTTTTTAATGCCAGGAAAACCATAGTCCCCCCACTGTACGCCTGTTGAAGTCATACATATTTATGCTTGGAAACGTTTAGTAAATAAAGTGCTTTTTCTTCAGAGAATTACTTACAAAGCTTGTAGGTGTCCTTATAAATTTGATAAAATCCGGGGTGAGTGGGTTGCGTGCTCTAAATCTTGTGAGTAACACAATTAAATCTATTACTTAACCCTACGCTGCAAAAATAGGATGGGGGGGGGGGGGGAAACCAAACTACTCTCTCACTTTCTTGACTTTGTGATAAAATCTTTTATTATGTAACAATCTCAGCAAATATGTATACGCTCTAATAATGCACAGAACTGTAAACTGTTGTCCATGCTTTCTGTTCTTTGTCCTTAAATACATTTTATTACTAAGGTTCCTTTCGCACAGTCTGTTCAGGAGGGGATCAGTGCACAAATCACCTCCTGATTGGAACAGATGTCACCGTTGTGACATCAGTGTCCGTGCAGTTTTTTTTCTCTATCTTGCAATGGAGGAAAAAAACTGACATTACAGGACTCATGTTAGTGTATGGACAGCTGGATCTAAACCAGTGGTTCTTAACCTTTCTAGGGCGTGGACCCCTTGGTAACATTTGACAAGTTGTGGTGACCCCCAAAGGTAAAATTTAGGGATGACGCGGCTGCAGCGACATCTGGAGGCGTGGCGGGAGAACTGACAATGCTGCGCTAGGAGAGAGCTGAGGAGGACTCTCAGCTTGCACAGCGACCCACAGGTTGAGAACCACTGCTATAGGCAAAGACAGGACCAGGCTCTGCAGCTGGAACTATAAGAATTGGATTTAAAGTGTGTGGCTATATAACGTATGAGGTTATACATACATTTCCCGATCTCTGCCGCTGCGGACCAGGAAAATGGAATGCATAGCTAGAGGTGTGTTTTACATATTTTTTTGCTTGAATACATACATATTGCACCCATCCTCTGCTGCTGTCAATCACTAGATGGGGACCTGATGGAGAACTTCAGGTCCCCCTCTGCTGATTGGCAGCATCAGAGGGCGGGTGCAATAGCTAGTTTGCTATTGGCTTTTGCAAAGTGAAATAGCCAATAGGAATCTAGCTATGCATTCCTATGGTGGTTTTTTTTTTTCTGACTTATGGCGGCCCCCGATTTAAAAAAACAAAAAACACAGAGCAGAGAAAGGTACCGACCTTTACGGGAGAAAGTGTTTCTCTCCCGGCGGCCGAGAGCCACTAGGCGACCCCTGGCAAATCGTCATTCGACCCCCGAGGGGGTCCTGACCCACAGGCTGAGAACCACTGATCTAAACAGATCTTTCCATCTAGTTCCCCCAAACTAGGAACGATCAGGTCCAGCAAAACCGATCTCTAATCTGTTGTTTTCCAGGACCTGGCCAGAGCCGGGGCTAACAGGTTGTACACAGACACCCATCCATTTAGACCCAGATGCCCATAGACTAACACTGGGTTTCAGATTAGGTCTGCCTGAAAAACTGACAGACGGACCTGATTGGAAAGACCTTATGAAACGAGCCTTAAAATGTCATATGCTTCCTTATCCAACAATATTGCTACATTGCCCTGAAACCGGATAACAGATTTATTTAATTCATAAAATACAATATAAAAGTAAAGAAATTTGATTTACCTTTAAAGGCTCCGAGAAAGGAGGCTCCATCTCACCAATGTAGATCACCAGTGTATATACGGTAGAACCTAATGTAGATAGGGACCCTAGAAACCAGTTTAAAAAACAGTGATTTTAATATGGGGACACCGGAGCTTAGATATAGTGTAAGCCATATATAGTCCTTAAGTCCTTAGATATGGTGGATGCATTATTTGTTTTCATAATTTTTCAGCTGGTAATTCTGCGAATAATGCTTTTCTTGTCCCTGGGTTGCTCCTCTCTGTATTCATTGGAACTATGGAGGCGCCATGACTGCCACCAAGGCTGGACTACAAACCTGCATTTGTTCATCTCCATGACATAGGAAATGATAGGATAAGTAGGGTACATAAAATAAATAAAATTGTTCTGCACACAGAAAGTGACAGGGACATTTCATTTCTGGCAAGATTAACAAGTATTTTTCAGTACTTTCTGAAAATGTTCCTGAAAAATAAAAAGTAATGCAGCCACCACATCAAAGGACTGGTAATCTTTCCTATAGAATACATTTTTGCTTTGGGGTTTAAATACCCTTTAAGTAGAAAAAAGGACATTTTTGCATGTCTAGGATTATTCAGAAGTTTTTGAAAATCCAAGAGAGGTTAGCAAGGTAAATCTAAAATGATCCTAAGGACCACACACATAAAGGGAAATACAGGGGAAACATTTTTAAAAATGGGGGTAGTAGAAGGAATATTTTGATGTGGGATTTGTGAAAACAAATCTTAGAAATATTTCTAAAGTGAAAATAGGAGATTTTTAGTGTCTATAAAGTAAACTAGGAAAAAAAAAAGAAACAGTTAAAAAAAACAGATCTGCAGTTTCCTGTTACCCTTACAAGTGAGGACATGGTTTGAAATGGCCCAGGGCTTCAACAGTAGGGCCATTGCATATTGCCCAATGCATATTGCCCAACATTTGGAAAACCATGTTAAGCCAAACTAGCAATTGCTATCCATGTTACCATATTATGGGAAATGAGATGTGAATCCGATACAATAGAATGATAGCCTTTAGTGCTTGGGGGACCACATAGCATATAACAAAGGCAAATGTATTGAATAAGCAGGCAGGTTAAGTATGTGTGGAAAGGAAACAAGAGATGGCTATACCTGCTTGATATAACTGAACACAGGAAGGCCATGACTGTTTGGAATACTCCACCTTCTGCCTCCCTTTTTTTGAACATTCATGATTTAATTAGCGATGGCAGCCAAATGGTTTATTTTATGGTACATTTTTAATAGTGGTGTATAAGGATATACTACAGACATTTTCAGAATCTCCTTAAAAGCACTTGGCCTCAGAATCAGCAACTTAACAGCAGAGGTGCATACCCAGAGGAAAGGGGTGTTGTGAACACAGTTGTAGAATGGGATGAATGCAGAAGGGAGGTGAGTGCTACTACAGTGAGGATAAGGTGGAGGAGAAGTGGTGAAGAGTGTGGAGGATTCAAGGAATGACATCATCTGTGACATTAATGATGTCACTGGTTGCCAGGAGCTAGATGATACCCTGAGCCAGGTGGGGAGGGTGGCATCATCGGCTGTCAGAATAGCCGAACAGAGCCAGCAGCTCTAATGCTGCAGGCTCTGTTCTCCTGCATAGATTTTCTGACCTGCTCCTTCGATCAGTTGATCGAGGGATGCCGACCAGACAGCGGCACTGTATGAAATTTGAACAGTGTTTATTATCAGCAATATCAGTACATTTACCCGATACCGGTAATTTAAAAATCTGGGAATATCGGCCCAGATTATCGGTAGATCTGATAATCGTTTGATCTCTACAGCAAAGCAGTTACATCTGAATCTAGAGTATATTACCAGAACATCAAAGCACTAGCAACAAGTCATTTTTAACTCGTGTCTCACTGCTTTCCTTGTGAATGATGGTGATCTCTAGCAATCTCACATAACTAGTCCCCAGTCTCTGACTGTCTTCTGCAGTGGGTTTACAATCTCCAGCAACTCCTGTAGCATGTCTGCAGTCTTCGTGCAATTCCTCTTACTGTATATGCCTGTAGTTTTTGATAATCTTTTGTACCACCATTACATATACTGAATAATATGTGCGGCCATCAGGTGCTTTTAGAAGCCTTAACTGAGACCCTCTATACTTCATTAGTTCATAACCACTGCGTTACTTGACGTTACTTTGCACTTTAGTGAATTGGGCCCTTAATATTTTCGGGGGCATTTGTGATGAAGGATAGCCTAAAGGAATGTCTTTGAAAAGTTTAGCTAGGCATTTATCCAAAAGCAGTTTTTAGCATGCAGATTTTTGCATGTGCATGATCAAATTATAACTATGTACTGATGGAATCCACTGATCAGAATAACTGACAAAATGTTTAGCTGAAGTCTTTTATTTCTATAATCATACCACTCATATAAAGAGATTTAAAAAAACATACATGGCAATATGTCAAATGGAGAATAAGACAAATTGTTGTAAAATGAGTAAAATAATTATTGTGTTTTACCTTTTTCTAACTCTGTTCTCTTTTTTTTTTACAGAGTGCCCTTGTCTGTACAACCTTCTCTGCAATGCTGACTGCTGTATGTAGCTCTTTGGGAAACCAAACATCAGAGACTCCTGGATCTCCGTCCACCTCTGAGCTTTCCTTAAAACCATATACTATCCCTTCAGAAGCTGATCCTGGTCTGCCTCTTCAAGAGGACATTGCTCAAGACTATTCCTCTGCTGAGCGCTATACATCCCTGTCCTCTGTACGGCTGCCATATCAAACATTTGCAGGACGAGAGTCCTCAGAAACCACATCATTCACCAAATTTCTGCACCCACCATTTGAGATGTCTAATCCATATGAGTCCTGGATGAGACCTCCAGCCCCTGGAGGCACTGGGGAGGAGAGTGGGGTTCCTTCATGGTGGGATCTTCATGCTGGATCCAGCTGGATGGATATGCAATCCAGTTCAGGAGGCTTTACAACTCCTTCACCCCACCAAACCTCTTTAGGAGGATATGGCTCTGAACTTTGCATTCCCCCTACACATATGCTGACTCCTGCACCTCATCTTATGGGAAATTTGGATACCACAATGGAATCTCATGCTGCTGATCCAAGTTCAGATGCTTCTCCTCGTCCAAAAGGTGCCAGACGAGCAATGCCACGAAGTGCTGCTCAAGCTGCTTGTCGTTGTCCCAACTGCCAAGAGGCGGACCGAGTTGGCTCAGGCAGTGATATAGCAAAGCGCAAAATTATGCATAACTGCCACATACCTGGCTGTGGAAAGGCATATGCCAAGACCTCCCATCTGAAGGCTCACTTACGCTGGCATAGTGGAGATCGCCCCTTTGTCTGCAACTGGCTGTTCTGTGGGAAGCGATTCACCAGGAGTGATGAGCTACAAAGGCACCTACAAACCCATACTGGGGCAAAAAAATATCCTTGTCCTTCCTGTAGTCGTGTCTTCATGCGGAATGATCATCTGACCAAGCACATGAAGACCCATGAAGGTGAAACCAGGGGAACCTCAGAGACAGCTGGCAAGACCAAGAGAGAGCCAGATGAGAGCAGTAGTAGCCATTCTTGAAGATCTTTAGAAGGGCAGGGCTTTTCACCCTTGCAACATTATCTTCCACATTCAAGAAACAGTAGTGTGGATTAGTCAGTGGTGCTCAACCTCAGTCATCAAGGGACCCTTCAGGGCACACTAACAATTTTGCGTTGTTGTAACTTGTGGTAAAATGTGCATTTTAACATGTGTTACCGCAAAGCATGGTAACACACAGGTTTATGTGTATTGCAGTGTGCTTCTGAATGGTACCCAAATATGCATATTCAGGAACAAAAAGGCATACACACAGATATGGTGTGTTGTCAAACGTAGTGCAGGTGCATTTTCTTAATAGATTAAAGCACATAAAAATCTCTTTCAAAATGAATGGGCTACTGTAACACAAAGTGTGTCAGAACATGAAACCACGTGTGTCAATGTGAGTGCATTCCCACATACAAAATTGTGAATGGGCCCAAAAAAAGTACGTTTTTTTTAGTCTTATTGAGACTCGTGCCTTCACAGCTGTACCTGCACTTGATAGTGGGCAAAATATGCACTGTTTAGTAGGTGACTAGTTAAATTGAGCACCACTGGATTAGGTTATTTTATGTATTAATTTATTTGTAGATAGACAATTGCCTCTAGCAGATATTGTGGTGTAATAGTAGAGCAAGAAATGGGAATATGGGCCAGTAAATTCAGAAAAGTCTGATTGAGCAGTATAAAAGGACAGTGGCTTGTGGAATAAGAGATTGAAGCCTAATTAAGGCTAAAACTTCTCTTTTTCCTTTGGATGGAGTAGGACATTGTGAAATCGCCTGTAATTTTTTACATCCGGCCCCATCTGGAGGCACAACAGGGAGTAAAAGAACATCTTTTCTAGGTGAGAGAAATGTCACAACAACAAACATTCCCACTGGAAGATTTCCCTTCTATTTCTGCTTTGGTGGCAGCTCAAGATGTTGGTGTCTCCCTCACTTTCAGTCCCAGTGATAATGGTCCCCAGAGCATATTGAGAGAGTCAATCTTTCTAACAGGTGCACAGACACCCATAAAAATCTGACAGAGGCTCTAAACCCTCACCTCTCTATCCAAAACTAAAACAAACGTTTTGGCCTTAGATAAACTATGTCTGTCTAAAAGGGATGCTTCATTGGTGGGTGATTGCTGTCAACAATTACCTGCTTTTATCTCTCTGGGATCCAAAAAGTAGAGCCAAAAGCGTGAAACTTTTACAAAACCATCCCATTCATGAGCAATTTTGTTGTCTTGTCTTCAAGCTTAACAAGGTAGTCAAGCTCTCTCCTGCTGAAATGTGAGATAAGAATCCATTAATGGGTCCTGCATATATCATAATGAAAGGTGGGCAAAGGTGGATGTCAGAAAGTCCTTGAGGCATATTAGCACCCAGCAATGATGCAGTTCACAGCTGTCGAAGGAGTTGGCTGTTCTTGACATAAAACCTCCACTGAGATCTAAAAGGTGTATCATTTGTGTACACGGAATGGAAAAGTTATACTTGGAAACCAAGGACCATTTAGAGTTCATCTAGGATTATGCCATTTATTGTAAAGTCACAGCATAACAGAAATGTGCAGTGTTGCAGGGAGTGGCACTTTCTTAGCTGCGTCTAATAAAGGGCCACGCCCCAAAACTTATTTCTGTTATGTCTTGACTTTAACTAGTCTTAGCCAAGAAAGGTGTGTGTGGGGAGGGGGTTGGTATAGGATCCTCTGCTATAGTTTGGAGATCAAATGATTTAGGATATACAGTAGAAATGCAGTCCTAAAGGATCATATACTGCATTTTTGTGTTCTTGCACATATTAAGGTTCACTCTTTTCTATTTATCAAGGTCTTATGCTGTTGTAATAGGGGATTGGATTGCATTTGAATATTTATTGTCATTCGTGAGTATGTGTGGGATGTGTAAAATGTTTTTATGGCTGCCAACATTCTACCAGTCTAGCACCATCACTTTACCTCACTTTAAGAGACTCTGTATAAGATCAAAATTTCTTAATTACTCTACGCATTCAATAAAGGTAAATGAGTAAATAACTGCAGCCCCACATATTTATTAAGATGTTATCTGTACTGTATATACCAAAAGGAAAATGGGGGTGCACTTCTATTGGAGCTGTTTCCCCTTGCACTAACAGGTTTTAAGATTGCATGTGTTTATAGTCATCACAATTGTTAGTGCCAGGAGCACCAACGTGGCCAGTACTGTAACGCACATGCACAGGAATGAAGCAGAACACACTGTAGTGACAGCTCTGGCTCTACATAAGGCCCACTGAGATCAAAATCACGATGGTGGCATCCTGCTTTCTAAGGAGTCATGGAAGACATTTTACAAAAGATTTTAATGCACATAACAAAGGTAAATAACCTCAATATACAGTATCATATATACACAGTGCCTAAAATAAAAATATGGGAACAGAGTCTCTTTAGGGGCCAAGTTATTTTAATTTTGTATGAAAGCAAACAGGTTTATAACCTGCTTGCTTATTTATTTAAAGCGCCAACCCTTTCTCAACACTTCTTTTAGTCACGGCACCCTTTAAAAATATGAAAAATCTTGAGGCTCCCCAGTCTAAAATGTAAAAACATAAATTTAAAAAAATGACATGTAGTTCCTATACCAGACCCTTATCCTAGATAGTGGTCTGGTATGGATTTTAAGGGAGGACCCCATGAAGAAAAAAATTATAGTTTTCCCCTTTCCCATCACAAGTTGCCTTTTACAGCAGAGTCCCCCCTGGATTATCAGAATGTGTTTCCATGGTGCTGGGGGTCGTCTGCACCATGGCAATGCAAGACACTGTGTGAAAATTTTAAGGCACCCCTGACAAAGCCAGAAGGCCCCCAAAGGTGCCACAGCACCCCGGTTGAGAAAGGCTGATTTAGAGGACTCCAGTTTTGAAATCTTTCAGGTCTGCTTACTAGAAACCACCTTCAAGGGAGTCCAACCCTTTCTGCCAAGACCTCCTTGTATATTCTTGACTGTATAAGGGTTGCAAAGCCAGGAGCTTTTGCAAAGTGATTTTTATTTATCAGTCCCTGATGGATATAAGAAGGCAATTCAGGCCAAATAATACATGTGACAGTGGACGTTACCATCTTATAATAATAAGATAGTGGACTTTGAACAACCCAACTCCCATAAAGAATAGAGTAAAATGCTGCCCATTAAAGGCATAGGTCAAAGTTGACATATTTGCCACATCTATAAAAGTCTGCCACCTGCAAATCTGAAAACATCTTCTATTATGACCTTTTTCCACGCCTCAGTCTTATTAGCAGAATCTGTATCACAACAGAAATGTAATTCTCACATGCCTGTACAGAACTAGATCGCCATCTGTCATTTTGACATTTTGTAGACAGGAAAGCTGTGCATCCTGTAGATATCAGTCCTCTGCGGTCCCCACATGGCAGCAAGCATAATGACCTCCCTTTTGACATGTCACCTGTAAAAAGTTAAGGTAACAAATTCACAATGTTTATTTATTTCACTATCCTGCCTTAACATTTTCTTATTTGTCGGATGAGTGGATATAAACCTAGATTTTATTCTATATGGAGGCACCAAAATGTGTTTTGCTTCACAACGAATGCTATCATTTTTGTGCCACTGTGAGATATGAAATGTGGATTTAAAAAAAAAGTAAATGAACATTGTAACGCTTTCCTTTCCCAAAGGTGCATATGAAACACCTTCTGATCTTCTTTCCTAAGTTGTAAGTAAGGGGCTGCCACTCCTGGTTACAGGCTCTCCTAATGTTATGGGGGGAATGTGTCTATAAAACAGGGTGTGGAGGGATATGGGCAGAGAACAGCTCCACACCCAGTAAAGCACTGGCTGCACCCAGGGGACCTGTAGGGTGCTGCATTAACCCCGTGACTGCTGCTAAGAGATCACTTGCTAAAAGAGATGCAGGCTTTCTGTAAAGCTGCATTACCTGTTTGCCTGCTGTTGGTAGAACAGATAACACCTACAACTCTAACGTAGTTGTTTAATTCCTATTGATCCTTTTTGCAGCTGCTATTCTCACCTACTGTATGTGCCATGTTTTTCACTGTACAATAAAATCTAGAGGGAAAAAATTACCTTTTTTGCAACCTGTCCTATTCCACCTTTTATTTTCCTACTGCTAATAAAAATGAAAGCCCCATGATTTGTATTATTTACACAATTACTGTATATAAGAATTGTGACTGCATTTATAGTGCTCATGTGGATCCAACAAAACCTGTAGCATGTCTGCAGTCTCTGGCCAATTCCTCTTTTATGCCTTTTGTTTCTGATAGTCTTCTACATTGCATTACATATACTGAATAGTATGTACGGCCCTTCTAGTCCTTTCAGGGGAACACAATTTAGGCCCCCTATACCTCTAATCTGCATGCTTATTGCACTGCCTAATGCACTGTGCATCCTTGTACACTACTGTGCATCAGTCATTGGACCTTATATAAGTGCAGAGTGACCCATCATGAGGGGTGGGGATTTATAGTAGTAGTATCAGTTGCAGGCAGATATTATTATCTTGCAGAACACCTGGTAAAGAAAACGTGTAGTGGGATAATATGGAAGCTGCATTTCCTTCCAAAAATGTCAGTTGCCTGGATGTCATGTTGTTCTGAATGCTTCAATATTTATAGAGCTGCTGCCCTGGAAAAAATATGCAAATCAGGACTTAAGAACAAGCGCTGCTCCAGGTCGGTCCACTGTATCTCCGCTAGCTGTGTGCACACCTGATTCACTACCAGCAATACGACTATGTCCAAAAAAGAGGGGGATCAAGGCACTCCAAAAGTCCTTATGAATTTTTTATTTCATCATTTGGCAATAAAGGAACGTCTCAGGCCAACTTTTCTTAGAGAAATTCCTTTAAACTCAATAGATGAAATAAAAAATGAATACGGACTTTTGGAGTGCTGCAATTCCCCTCTTTTTTTGGACACAGTCATATGCAGATCAGGAGTTATGACTTTAGTCTGACTTTTTCATCTGCATGCTTATTCCACGTCAGTGACTAAGAGAGCACTAAAGTCAGAGGCAGCTAGAAAACTAGCAAGCAGAGGTTTAATTTAAACACTGCCAGGGTTATTCACAAAAGGGTGAATAGTTTTGGAGAAGGCAGGAGAAGTGAACAATCTAGGCCAAAATAGCTGATTTAGAGAAATTCTGCAATTCAGCTCAC